CATGAAAATAAAACGTCGCCGGACGAAAAAAGAAGCAACAAAATAGAAAAGAAAGCTTTTCACTCCGAAAATAATTTGCTTGAGAAAAAAGGAAACCGTTTTGATGCGATGAAAAGTCTTGACAGCAAATTATTTACTAACAAGACTGAAGTTAGTAGTCAAGGCAACAATATGACGTCATCTGGTATGGTGAAAACGAAAAGGAACAAGAAGAAGAAGATAAAGGTCGAAGAAGGGAGCGGAATAAATTCAAACAGAAGTATTTCGACGAGAGAATTACGGCGGTCAATACGAAATATTAATGACCAACATATCAAACTGGCTCTTCAGTCAGCTCTCAATAAAGACGAACAGCAACTAAAAAACGATGTTATGAGAATAAAGACGTCCCTAGAAGGAAACTATCGGCCATTTAATCTTACTAGAGTGTTGAGGGAGCTTGTAACAGAGGCAGAGACCCCTGGCGAATTTAGCGAAAAATTCGCAAGAGCAAAGCAAGAGCTTCTGTTAAAAAGACGTAATAGTGACGCGGACAAACCTTTAGTAAGGGTAAAGCGTTTAGGAAGGATAAATAACCAAAGCGAAAAAACACTTATTAGAGTCAAAAGATTAGAAGATGAAGACCCAAACGATTTGGACAACAAATTGTCGCTGGATGGTCGGCTTGATAGAGCTAAAAAGATTTAAACGGATTGACAAGTCAAACTTGCTGAAAGAACAATAGCAACTGGAACTTTTGTAGGCTTTCTTAGGACCACATTATGATCAATTTATAGTGAACTATTTTTCGGTTATTTTCAGTGCATATTTTCAACCGCTTGGTCATTGTAGCAAATGGCCACGAGGAAGAGCAATATTGAGGCTGATTGGAGTATAAAAGTCTATCTCTTTTCGATAAAAGAACTAGCGGATATATTTCTAGTAGTTGTCATTGCAGTGCAATTTGTGGCTAATTTTAAGGGGACGAGATAGACGCCATCTTGGAAATATGTCCCGTAAAACAGCCCCACAATGCACTTCAACACCAACTCGACCCAGTCTTTTCCAAAACCTCGGAGTGGCTATATATAAGAAAGGACGAAATAGCCACCATCGTAAAAAATGTCCCCTAAATCAGTCCCACAATGCACTGCAATTGCAGCTCGACCCAGTCTTTTCCTTGACCTCAGTATTTAAAGCGTTCTTTTAACTCTGTATTATCCACGCTTGCTTTAATGTAATTTTTCAAACTTTTGGAGTTAATATTCTACATATTCAGATGCTTCCACATAAGATATTTTAATTTCAAAGTTTTACAATGATATCTCACATTTTAGCTCTAAGTTTAATTTACGTTTTCC